ATATGTTTGTTTTTATGAGGGAGCCAAGGTTTAGATGTTTCCCAAAACAGGTTTCCTGGGAGAGTTCACTTTGTCTGCAGCATTCCCAGGGAACTCTGTGGTTAATGGCATCCTCCTCTGTGCAGCTGAGGAAAAGAGACACACTGATTGGTTCCTGGAATTCTGGTTCCGTTAAAGGCCGTTCTGGCAGCCTCTCCATCACCAGCACCAAGTCACATTAACGAGCCTCGGTGGCTTTACCTTCAGAGAAAAAGTAGGACTAAGGCGTGATAAATAGAGCTGGCTTTTAAATTCAATATTTTAAAAATAAATTGCTAACAAAGAACATATTCCCACTACTCAGAGTACAGATATATTTATTAAAGTGGCTAAAAAGGCACTGAGTCACTGACAAATAGAAACAAAAATGTGCATATCAATTAAAACTTAGATTTTTCTACTTTTATGCTTTTCTTTTTGCATTAGGTTCACACAGAACAAAGTAAATGGGCAATTTAATTTAGCAATTGACCTGTTCCTTTCATCTATGGAGTCTGTTGATCCTGGTAACCTACAGTTCAAGGTTTGGGGCATGGACCATTTTAGGCAACTTTGCCTAAATCACTCGATGTTGAGTAGAACCAGATAGAAATCTAACACCAGGAACCAGCCATCATTAGGACTGTTGCTCTCTCAGGTGAATGCATGTGCATGAAGAAGTGGGAGGTGCTGTAAATGATAGTACGGAAAGAATATGCAGAAATAGTTCTTACGGTGAGAAAAAGACTTCCGTTTTTCGAATTACACCTTTTATTTTGAAATATCAGCGATTCACTTCTACTTGTAAGAAATAACACAGGAAGATCCCATTTACTCGTGACCCAGCTTCCTTCAACGATAACATCTTATAAAACTACAGGAGAAACCATAACTGGGACACCGATGTTGATACAGTCAAGATACAGAACACCTCCATCACCACGCAAGTCCCTCATGGTCCCCTTTCATAACCAATCACTTCCCTCCGGGCCCCACCACGAATCCGTCCTCCATTTCTATTATTTTGTCATTTCAAGAATTTGAGAATTGTCTAACCACTATGTCTTCAAGTAATTTTTCAGCTTTTCTCTCTTTCTCTTCTCCTTCTGGGACTCTGATAACACAAATTTTAGATCTTTTATTATAGTACCACGTGTCCCTGGGCTCTATCATTCATTCATTCATTCATTCATTCATTCATTTATTTGTTCATTTGTATGTTTGTGTCAGTCTATTTTGTCCTTGTTATTCAGATGGGGTAATATCTATTGTCCTATCTTCCAATTCACTGATTCTCTCCTCTGTCTCTTTCATCTGCTCTTCAGCCCATCCATCGAGCTTTTCTCTTTTGGTTATAATATTCATCAGTTGTGAAATTCTCATTTGGTTGTTCTTATCGTTTCTTTGCTGAGGCTTTCTGTTTTGCACTTATTATAAGTGTTTTTGTAATGGTTCGATGAAGTATTTTTTTCCATGGCTGCTTTAAAATCTTTGATAATTCTAACATCACTGTCGTCTTGGTACTGGCATCTGTTGACTTTTTTCACTCAGTTTGAAATCTTGGTTCTTGACATCATGAGTGATTTTTCCGTCGAAACCTGAATATTTTCATATTGTATTGTGACTATGGGTCTTATTTAAACTTTCTGTTAAACTACTGCCGGGTCGAAGAAGTCCAGGTTCACCACTCAACCTCTGTGGACATCGGAGGCGATGGGCTCCCCACTTGATCTCCACTGACACTGAGGTAGGGGTGGTTCTATGACTCCTGGATGGTGGTTAAGGTCCTGATTCTCCACTGACTCTGAGACCAGCCTAGCAGGAGGGGGAGAGATACATGCTTACTCCCTTACTGCCAGGGCAGGTGAGTGTCTAATTAGGTCAGCCTGATCGTAGACCCTCACCTGGCGAGGAAGCTGACCACCACGATCACGATCGACAAGCTCTGACAGGAAGCCTACAGTTGAAATTTGGGTGATACAATTTCCCAAAGGACAGGAACTGGTGTTTCCAGAACAAGGGGGAAAAGGTACTGGGTAGAGAAAAATAGCAATTGCTAATACATATTATTCAGTTTCTAGGTGACTTAGAGTGCGTATTAATTTTTTTGATCCCTTCAATGATTATATCTTCTTAAAAAGGCAGAAAGAGAAAGTAGAATAACATTCAAATCATTTTATATCTTTGTTCAACACTCTTCCATTCTGCAAGTATTTATGGAGTGGTGACTGTTAGGAATTGTGCTAGATATTGGAAACACATTGATGAAAAACACACTATCCTTTTCTCAAAAAGCTTTCAAGTCTGTATCGAAAGTTGTAGGGTTTGGTTTGGATGCTGGGTAAAAGGATTGGAACTTTTAGTTAAAATTGTCTATTTGTACAATATCTTAAATTAAAAGTTAAAACATATACACCTGTGAATATACCTTTGTTTTTAGCAGGAATAGTGCTTTTCTTCCTTTTTGCTTCATTATGCTTTCCCCCAAGCTTTTACAGTGATAATGACAACATGTATGTATATTTTATAAGCAAAAGGATGTTAAAAGTCAAGGTTTTTTTTTTTCTATTTTGTTTTAAACTGGTATTTCTTATACTGGATTATCATTCTCTCTCTTTATGCCATGCAAGAGAGCCTTGAAAATATTTAAAGACTTTAATTTCAAAGGAGATCAATGGATTTCATCACCACAATTTACTTTTCACTATTAGCTCTGCTTTGATATTAGAGACCCTGGAAGGTGACTCAATCAAAAAAGGGATCGGTGACTCCAAGATAAGTAATGGCCAGGTCAAGAGAGGCAGTGGAGTGGAGAGGACAGCCCCTGAGAACCTGAGTCCATCAGGCGCCAACCACCTGGGTGACTCTAGATATTTAAACTGTTTGAGCCTCAGTTTCTTCTCCTGTCAGTTTCCTAATTTGTAGACCTCAGAAGAGGGACTGAGAGCATCAGGGAGATAGCAGCATATCAAGAAGCAAGTTGTCATCTCCGCACCAGATGTTGAGATGCGCTTCGTTGTTCCGTCTCTTTATGGTCCCATCACATGACTTAGCTTCAACTAAGCCTCCAAAATGATCACATCTAGGGCAGTTCCTTAAATGGTGGTGGAAAATCACAAGGACCAGGTAAGTGAGCGGAAACCCATTTTGGAAGTAGAGAACATAGACGTCGGTCCATTGCTGGACTGGGTTTGTGCTTTCAGGTATAATCTCTGAAAACCTATTTTACTCTTCCACATTTTTGACCCCCGTATCTCCTAGTTAGGGCCCATGCCACAAGTTTTTAATTTAACTCAAGAGACATAGGAAGCATATAGGATGCCAGGCAGTGTGCTAGATTCTAGATATGAAAAGATGAATTAAAATCCAGTCCTTAATCTCTTTGGACTGGAACAATTGAAATGTTACCCGTACAACACAAAACTGTTTAATCCTGTCCTTGGAAATAGATGAATTTATGATTTTTCTTTCCAATTCATGATCTCTTCCAGCACAATAAGTCTAGATTTAAGATTTTTGAAACATGATGTTGTCTCTTATCTTTAAGAAAGAAAATTGTATCAAATTAAAGGAAATCACCCAAATAGAATCTATAGGAAATCAAAGCATTAACAATCTCTGCATATGATCGCAAGCCTTTTAAGAAACAAATCATTACAAAAATCCTGGTTCTCCATGCAGGTATCATATGTGCTTATATATTATATATGTTCATATAAGTATCATTATCTATCTATCTATGTGTGTGTGTGTGTGTGTGTGTGTATATAAAAAACATCTAACACCTAGAAGGAGAAACTGCCCTGTGTGCTTGCCTCCTTAAAAAGAAATTTGCCCTGGGAATGCCCGCGTTTTCAGTAAGATGCAATATTACAAAATTCCAGGTATTTACATGGAAAGGGAATGAAGCATTGTAATAGTCAATGGAGGGAACACCAAAGGGCCATTTTAAGGCTCTAGAAGTGCCATATAAATCTCCAAAAGAGGTTGTAATGTATTAAACAAAGGATAACACCAACCACAAGAAAAAGAATCATAGAACCGGGAGAAAACACACTTCCTGGCTCGGAAGCTCTTAAAAGTTCTGAGCCAGGGCACCTCCCGCACGGGCGGGGAGTGTCTTTGGCTCTCCAGTGACTCCCTGCTAAGTTTCCCTCAAGTTTTCTCTCCCTCTCCCCTCCATTCCCTCACCTCAGTCCCCAAGTGTGGGAGCCACAGGAGAATGACAGCATATATACCTGAAATTGTCAGACATCATCGGACTCTAAGGCATGTTTATTTTAAATGCCCCCACACCTAAAACAGGCCATATTTGCAGGCGAAACCAAGGGATTTCAAACGACGCCTGGAAGCTCGTCTTACAAATTGGGGGCCAAGCCTGTAAAAGAACAATGATAA